TTTGGCAGCAACGGTGGGAAGCTGTTTTAGCGGCAAAATTTGGGTGTGCGTGGGGGTTACCCCTAGTTACAGGGCACCTCCCCAGGCTGCAGCACCCCAAGAGTTACATTTCCAGAGGCTAGCGTGTCCCGAGAGGGGCAGGGAGGGGTGAGAGCCAGGGGCTAGCTGGGGGTTGGCTGGCCCGAAGGGGGAGGAAACACCCCCTGCCGCCCCCCCCCGCTGCCAGAGAGGGGCCCTGGGGGCTGTGCCAGGGGCTGCCCGCCAGAGACTATTTATGGGGGTGACGCTGTTGTGCCGTATATGGCCCGGGTCCCGGCGGGGAGACCTTCACCGGCCCCAGGAAGGCAAATTATTAGCTCTGCTGGGACGGGGAAACTGAGGCACAAGGGGATTCCTCCCCTCCCCCAGCCACTTAGCAACCTAGGGAGAGAACCCAGGAGTCCTGACTCCCAGCCCCCTCCCCCAATCCACTAGACCCCCCCCCACTCCCCTGAAGAGCTGGGGAGAGAAACTTCCCTCCCCAAAGTAAGAACCCAGGAGTCCTAGCACCCTCCCCCCTGTCAGCCCGGCTCCAAGCAGAGGGAAAACAGCAGCCGCGGGGGCCAGCACGTGAATAAACACTGGTAAAAACATCTCCTGGCGTGACCATGCCCGGACCCCCCCTGCAAGGAACCTGCCCCCCCCCAGGTCCCGAAACCTCCCCCGCTACCTTGGCTCCGTGCGCCCCGGGTAGGTCCCTGCGCCCCAGCTGTGGCTACGCTCCGGCCCGGCGCCCCCCCCCGCTATATACGGGTCCGGCCCCCCACCCCGCCGCCCCCTTTGCAGAAGCTTCTGGACCTGGCTGCGTGCCTGGGCCAATCGGGGCCGGCCTGGGCCGCTCCGTCACCGGGCGGGGGGGCGCAGCTGCCGGAATTGGCATCCGGCTGGACGCTTTGGGGAGCTGGGAGGGTCCTGGGCTGAGCCGGCCCCGCCCCCATCGGGCCCCCCTCCCCGCGGGGGAGGGACTAATGGTAGCCCTGCCAAGGGGTTATTTTGGGACTGGGCAGGTGACACAAAAGGGGGGGGCGGGGGAGAGCCCCCCTTACCTTGGCATGGAGATGGCTCCAGGGGTGGTTAACCCCCCCAGGCAAAAGGAGCCCCCTCCCTGGCCAATGTGGCCCCCAGAGCACCCCAGCGACCCCTGGCCCCCTCCCCTGCCAATCCCCTCCAGGCCCATGTGCCCCCGCACAGCCCCACCCCAGGCCCCCGGCCAAATGCTCCCTCCCCCACAGCCAGTATGCCCCCCCAACCCCCAATAGGGCGACCAGATGTCCTGATTTTCTGTTACCCCCACCCCTGGTCACCCGAACCCCAGAGCCCCCTCCCCTGCCCCCCCAGCCCCTGGGACGAGCTGTTCCAGTCGGAGGACAGTGCTGGCACCAGAACAAGTGGGGATAAAGGGGCCCATCGAGGCCGGGAATTGGAAGGAGGTTCTGAGCCCCCCAGGAGGCAGGTTCTGGGACAAGCTGAGAACTTCGCAACGCCTTTCACAGGTGTATTCCCCAGAACTCCCCCATGGGGACTGCTGCTTTGTGGCTGGATCGGGGCCAGCGCCCCCTAGAGGGGAAAGGCCCCGTGTCCCATTCCCTGCCCCCCTGAGCCAGCCAGCCCCCCCACTCTGTGACCGGATTGGGGCTGGTGCCCTCTAGAGGGGAAAGGCCCCATGCAGTGCTGGGCTCAAATCCTGTTAGAGGTCACAAGTGAAATGAGGTTCCCAGTCTCAAGAAAACCCACTAAAGGACACTGCAGAACCAGAGCAGAGTTCAGCCTCTCAGCCCAGGGCTGGGCTCGCAGGGGGCTGCGGGTCGGGAGTGAGGGGCACCGGCGGAGCTGGCGGGGGAGGGGTTGGAACTGGCCCAATCAGCTGTTTACCAGCCTGGATCCGTGTTCCCTTTAAGGCCCGTTATCGACTCCGTCAGCGCAAAGCTTCTGGCGGGATCGTGGCCTATGAACAGCAGCAGCTGCCCTGGGGCTCGGCGGGCGCAGAGATCTCTGCGCCTGTGGCTGAGATGTGGCCTAATCCCCTGATCCCCCAATAACCCACCCAGGACCCCCAAACCCCACCTGATCTCCCAATAATCCCCCAATGCCCCAGATCCCCCAAACTGAGCTGCTCTCCCCAATTACTCCCCAGAGCCCCCATATCCCCCAAACCCCATCGGATCCCCCCAATAATCTCCCAGATCCCCCAAACCCCATTGGATCCCCCCGTAACCCCCAATTCCCAATAACTTTCTTATGCCCAATTTCCCCCTCCCATCTCTGCCCTGTGCAGCCCCCCCACCATGTGCTCAGCCCCCCTTTACCCACCCTCCTGTCTGGGCCTGGGGACCCCGTTGGCGGCAGGGACCTGCTGCAGCAGCCGGCGCTCAGTGGACTCCCAAGCCAGCAGGGTGGGACGGTGGAGGGGGGGAGCTCTGGGGTCCTCGTATCAGCTCCCCCTCGGACAGACACTCTGCGTCTAACTGCTACGGAACCCCCCCGGGAACCCCCCTCCCCCCCATGGAATCACAGCCACAGACCCCGGGGGTTGCAAGGATCAGCTAGTCCAGCCCCTGCCAAGAGGCAGGATTGGTTGGGTCTAAACCAGGGGTTCTCAACCTTCACTGCACCGCGACCCCCTTCGGACCCCCAGGAGGGGGGACTGAAGCCGGAGCTCGCCCGAGCCCCGCTGCCCTGGGGGGGAGGCGAAGCCAAAGCCCGAGCCCCACGCAGGGGGCCTGTAACCTCAGCCCAGGGCTGAAGCCCCCGGGTTTCGGCTTGAGTCCTGGCCGGTGAGGATGGGGTTTTGGCCCTGGGCCCCAGCAAGTCTAAGCCAGCCCCGGCGACCCTGTTAAAATGGGGTCCCGACCCCCAGTTTGAGAACTGCTGACAGATGCTGTCCAGCCTCCTCTCGAAACCCTCCAGTGGCGTCTGGTCCATTGGCCGTTCTTACAGCTGGGGAGTTTGTCCTGAGGTTTAATCTAAATCTGCTCTGCTGCAGTTTGAACCTGTTGCCTCTTCTCCTGCCCTCTGAGGCCAGAGAGAACAACTTGTCTCCATCTTTATGGGAGCCTCACGAGTATCTGAGGACCCCAATCATGTCCCCCCTTAATCTCTTTTCCAAACAAGCCATACCCAGTTCCTTCAGCCTCTGCTCATGTGACTTGCGTTCCATCCCTTTGATCATCTTTGTCGCTCGCCTCTGGGTCCTTTCCAGTTTCTCTCCATCCTTTCTATACAGTGGGGACCAGAACTGGACACCGTCCTCCAGGTGAGGCGTAGCCAGCGCCGAGCAGAGCGGGACTGTCACCTCCCGTGAGTGACTCACATGCTCTGCCTCTGCTGATGCAACCTAACAAGGCATTTGCTTTTCGCCCCAGCATCGCGTCGCTGACTCGTGTCGAGGTTGGGATCCGCCCCAGCTCCCAGCTCCTTCTCAGCAGGCCAGTTCTCCCCCAGTCCGTACTGGTGCACTTGCTTTTTCTTCCCTGGGCGGAGCAGCTTCCATTGGTCCTTCGTGGATTTCATTGTGTCGTCTACAGCCCAGTTCTCAATTTAGCGAGATCCCTCGGAATTCGAGCCCCATCCTGCAAAGTGTTGGCAACTCCCCCCCCCGCCCCCAGCCTGGTGTCGTCTGCAGCCTTGATCAGTCTCCTCCCTAGTCCTAACCCAGGGACTGACGCAGATGTTAAACAACACGGGGCCCAGAACAGAGCCTGTGGAGCCCCATTTGAGACCTCCCTCCAATCCCACGTCTTTCCATTCACAGTTACTCCTTGCTTGTGGGGTTTAGTGGTTGGGGGGGAGGGGGGGGGCTGGGAGCCCGGACTCCTGGGTTCTCTCCCTGCCTCCGGGAGAGGAGTGGGGTCTAATGGGAACCTGGCCTCATTTCTCCAGCTGACCTATCAGAGCGTCCTGTCAGGGAGGGCACAGATTCCGGGTCTCACAGACTGTGATGTCTTCGGCTTCAGTCCCTCGCAGTGGCTGGGCCGGAGCAGCTGTCAGCCCCCACCCAGGAGCTGCGGCAGGACTGGAGCAGTGGCTAGTGGTTGGCCCCTGGGGCCGGAGCAGTGGCCGGCGGTCAAGGCCCCGGTAGGGCTCCCGCTGTTAGTCGCCCCTGCCGGGTATTTTTAGAGTCAAGTCACAGGTTCCGTGAAGTTTTGTTTCTTGCCCGCGACCCGTCTGTGACTTTACTGAAAATACCCAGGACAAAATCTTAACCGTAGTCCCGTGGGACGGGAGCCCGGCTGCACGCCAGGTCCATTACGTCCCCTGCATCCCCCCTCCTCCAACCCCGCTCCCCTGGCAAAGCCGGGCACCGGGCTGGTTCGGCCCGGGAACTCACAGACTGAATGTTTGATCCTTGCTCGAGTAGCTTCCCAGAGATGGAGGTCAGGCTGGTCTAGAGCTCCCCAGCTCCATGGGGGCACTATGTTAGCCCCTCCCCAGCCAGGGACCCCTCCGGAGAACCCCCCCCCCCC